CTTTGATCGCAAGACGTTCGACCAAATCTTGTTAGGCACAATGGCCAGGCAGACGGTCGAACAATGAGGGATCACATTACCCCACCTCGATTCCGGCACACTGACTCCGAAAACCTCAAAGTTTTACACCTGACTACACTTCTGTCTGATTTTTTCGTCAAATACTATTACGTAATTATCTACGGTCCAATTGGCATGTAATGTAATGTAATACCCATTCCTATTATAGTATCTGTTATGTGAAAAATCGTGTTGTCCCATATGGTAGGTAATGAAGTCAATTTACTTTTTAATTGGCTTTGTTCAGTTTTACAAATGTACATTTAACTGGACACATCATATGTTTTTATACTCATTTATTTTTATTTGTTTGTATTGGCAGACCAATGTTATTAAATTTTCTTGAGTGTTATAGCCATTGGGCATTCGATTTCTGAGAACATCAGAATTTATTGTTGCCGTAACGTAAAATTCTTCGTAACATTTACAATTGGTGTCAGGATATGTGTAGAATGTGTTTTCTTTTTACGAACATCGATATAGTATCGATAAATAACCGATTACGAGCGTCTTTTACGAGCAAATCGACTATCTCGAGCACATTGCGATCCCATATTTTATAGCTGTTTACAATTAAGGCGACAAATTTGGTTCGTGTCGTGTGCTCGTGTCGCAGATTTATATTCAGCTAATTCTGTCTAGCGCAGCGCGTCCCGGCCCTGAGTAATGGAAATCGGCTATTGGATGCGGGAATAATTAAATGTCACCTCACAAAATTGTCAGTGCTGCAGGGGAACGATCTCAAAATAAGTTTGTGTAATGTAGATATACACACCTAGTAGCTTACTATGCAAACGGTGGCATTAAAAAGTTCAAACGAGACGATAGAAAAGCAGCTGCTGATAACCATACCCGATAGTTCACACCATTAGCGTTGAAGCCATCTATGAAATTACCTCTGTTACAACCTGCACCACCTCAAACGTTTTTAATTTTACGTCCACTATCTATTCTTAGCACATTACTGTTTTACGGCGTCTATTATCACACGTCGTTATGGGATGTGGTAATGTAGTAAAATGTTAAAGTTATTTATTTAGCGGTTTTCCGGCCGCTTGTATGTACCCTCTGTCGTACAAAATGTACTTCATAATGCAAATGTGTGGGAGAAATAATAAACGACGACATTTTTCCCCGTCTATGAAACATACCCCTCGCCTCTACTAACTGAAGTGCATTTTATAAACGCGTAACTAAATAGTGATGTGCTGTCCTAAAAATATCGACAAATTAATCATGGTTAGGGATTACAGTGATGATTTACTAATAAATTATGTGTAAGTATTTAAATTAGTAAATGTTGATCGAAACTAGTTTTGGTGATTTATAGTTTACGATTCTTTTAGAAAGGCTCTTGCTATTTAATTTTATTCACGCTATTTTCTTAATTGAAGATTATTAGCTTTTCGATTTTATGTTAAGTACTAATGATCTGCCGTCGTCGGATCCATTAAAAATTTGTGTTTATCTACATTTTGCAATTAAAACCGCATTTGCACGTCCCTATTCTCACCTTTATATTTCCATCGACACCTTTGCACTTTGTTTTATTTTCTTGCACGCCTCGTCCGCATAATTCCACAATAAAGCTTCTGTTGTGCCCTAAAATCTTTACATCCATTCCTCGAAGGGGAACTTTCTATACGAAATATCAGCGCGGCCATTGTGCGTCTTTCTATTTTATTCTTCACAAATGGGTTTTTGTACGACTGTAATGAAGGCTTTATTCGAAGGTGCGAACTGCGAGTGTAGAATGCGTCAATAGTGAGGAGCACGCGATACGCGAGCCATTTTGTTGGTATTCAACTTATTTTTTCTTATTAAAATTTCGGTGCCTCGGCTAGGAATGTAGGAATCCGCAAGAGACTAAAAAGCGCCGTTATCGTGTTGGGAATTAGTTTGAATAAGCAGAAAAAAGCGGGCGCCAGTAGAGACGGGTGCCGGTTATCTGTAGTTATTTGTCGTATCAAGTAGTTCTTTCCTTCGCCGCCGCTTCAAAGACACCGCACACGGTAGCTCTCGCTGCTTATTACCTATGTGGGAATGTAACAGAACAGCTTTATGTCATAAGTATTTATTTTTTACAACTTTTCGTTCAAGTTTGAGATAATTTTGGTCTGTCGTACTCCGTAGATACCAGCACTAACTACGATTTCGTGGAAACAATCTATTAAAGTTAAAATCTTAGCTCAAGTATGGACTTAACTTTGTGTGATATCTCGTCTAGATAAGTAAGAAACACCGGTTGTTGAATTTGTTAAAATAAATTAGATGTTCCTGTTCTATTGGAAAGTTCTTCAACCTTTTTATTGTACCACGAAACGATTTGATTTTATAATAATCGTGTTAATGTTTAAATAATTTATCACCGTATAAATATTATGCATTATTAATGTGGCACCATAGCTGTATTATTAAGTTCATTTCGATCATCCGTATAATATTTGGAATATTTATGAATTTGAAATGTCAGAGATGTTTTATTTACATAAAACGTTGTCGCAACGTTTTGATCTTTATCGTTTTATTTTTATCTTTTATATCGTCGCAGTATCCAGTCTAACTTGTTAATTCTTTAAATCAATAAATAACGTCACAGATTCAAGCATCCAATTAAATAAAAAAGTATTGCATTATAAGGTGTCTGTGTGTAATGTCGTAAACAAGAGTGCGATAAAACTCCAGCGTCTGCGCATGTCGCAGCGATTTGTCGCGGTGAGTCGTCGCACGCCGTGTGTATGCAAATTATATCGTTCTTTATTGTCACTCGTTAGCAGTTAATCGTTTTTATCGCTGAACGAATAAACAAATACCCATTAAAAGCGTTAAAATTATTAATTTAATCTCTTATAGGCTTGTTTTGGAAACTCATTTACATGTGTTGTATGTTTACCTGTGTACTGTACTCTGTGTTTAGATAGGACGTTATTATTTTATGATAATAGTGTTAATAACTTGCCCGTTATAACCGTGGTAAGGACCCCGGTGCTATGATTACGGAACCGGTCACAATATTTAAACTTGTTTACGATTATGACACTTCCAACAAATGGAAATGACCGAGGTGTCTCGCTTTTTATTTTCCTTACTTAAGATTTTAATCAAGTATTCATAGTTTTATTAATAGACATGAAGCGAAGTAATTTAATTAGGTAGGTTAGGTACATAACATAATATGACTCAAAAATAAGAGTTCTGTTTCGTCTCATTTGCTTGAAATGGCTGTAGGTGTTAGGCGTTGTATAGTAATGTCTTATTTTGGCAGCGTCGTTCGTTAACTTGGCTCATTCCAATTATAAATTCAATTATCTTTCTGTGTCTTCACACCCAAAAACGACATTCTCAAGGATATTAACGGCTATATTGACAAAAATTTTAAAGTAACTTGATACTTGAAAAAATGTATATAAAAATCATAAAGTTAATGGTCTTGGAACATGATATGATCCTTAACGAGACACGTAAAGTAACTGCACGAGTTCTGAGAAGTGGGCTTGTCGCAGGAAGCCCATATGAGCTGGTGGTTATCTCCAGAAAAAGAATGACAGACATTATTCATTTGATACACAGAAGCTTGTCAGAACAGAAAGATGATTAAGTAATTCTAACTTCTATTTTAATGGGGATCTTAAATTCTTTGTATTTGTATTTCTTGTTTTTACTGTTAATAGCTATGCATATTGTAATCTCTAGCTATGTTTTACGGTTATAGACGTAGAAATCACTGAGCGCCATCTACTATAGTCGTCATCTAATGTATAATATTTTCTACTTCCTCCAATTCGCAATTGAGCTTTCCCACGTCCATTCAGGATCATGGATACAGACTTGAGAGTTTTTGATTCTGTAGCCAAACTTCTTATACGTCGTTTTCATAAAAAAATTAATTGACCCATCGTACATCGCATGCGTTGTTTGCACAGACATGTAAATTTTAATAACTCGAAGCAAATTCATTACTTGTAATTATTCGCCTCATGCGAGTCTTGTGAGGTTTAAAATAAAATGAAGACCTGTCTCTGGTAAGATGGGTTAACAATATTACAATCAAGAAAGCCCACTTGTTATTATGTATAAGTGCTTTCAAGAGTTTCCAATTTGGCTTGTGTGCACTTAAAAGTAAAACTGCGCTCGCTCCACTGGCTCCACGAGCCAGATAACGAAACGACGACGATACCAAAGTGTTTTTTGAATTTTATGCGCAAGAAATAAGAATCTGTTCTAATATCTTACTGGTATTGCTCCAAGTTTATTTATATCTGAACTTTTCAGTCACAAATCTTGTAAGTTTTATCACAACCAAAGATAGGAGCGAATTCACAAACTTTCTTGAACTTACCCAAATAAAATTTCGCGAACAAAAAACCTCTCAGTAGTCAGCTTTTGGCCATGAACTTTTTTTTATCCTAAACCAGGTTCTCTGGGTTCTCATGATTTGAGGACAGGTGGCGCGGGCGTCGTTCGCGGCATCTTTGTGGTAGCTCTTTGATCTCGCCGCCGCATTGTACGCTCGCGTACAAAACTTTTTGCCTCAAATCGTTCGATATTGACGCGTACTGATTTGTTGTGAAATCTCAATAGATTCGGTAGGGCTTAGAAAACCTTTGAAAGTAGGCAGACATATCGGCGTCATATTTCTCGTATTGTGCAATAGGAGCCTTCAACGTCAGTATCATACAATGGTTCATTACATCCTGATAAGTTTGGTTATAGTATGAATGGAGAATTTGAGTAGGGAGGTACTTGGTAAAGCGCCACACCACTTCCTAGTAATTTAATCCGCATGTATTTCAATAAATCAATAATTATGCGAACTGCCATGTTATACAACATGCCTATAGCACCTGTTTTGATATCGACGACTTTCTATTCTCCATTCCACAATCATACAGACTTATTCAAATTTCCACGTAAATAACCTTCTACTTCTTTGTCTCCAGGTTTGACTGCTGAGCTGTTCTACGTTCGAGATGGCCAGATCAACGAGTATGCACTTAACTTCGTGGTGCCTGTTCCTGCTACCATCACGGACTTGCATTTCACCTGGCAAAGCCTTACTAGGAAACCGGTAAGGATCTATGATAATTGATAATACTGTCTGTATTAAATTTTTGATTACGAATTAATAGGAAAATGGGTTTTTAGGAGTTGTCTTGACAATGGACCAACCACTGCAATATGCTAAGATACGGTTGAATATCTATCAGTAGATATACACGAGTTAGCGAAAAAATTTTGGTCGTTATCAATGTCGGTACTACCTACCGGTTCTGAATGTAACTAATAATTATAGGAGTATCGTTATTCATTAGCAATTCAATTTATTATTATAAAGATTTGGTAACGTTTATAGGAATCATCATCATCAACCCCTATCCACTATTAGTAGTGCCTTAGGGGCCTAGTACGAATTTGTTTTAGGTTTAAAGTAATCGAAAGGAGTACGCGTTCGGCATTGTGATTGGCCGGTTCTAATGAACCAACCAATTAGAGCGCCGAATGCAGTCTTGTTTCCATTACTTTAAACGTGAAACAATTTCGTATTAAGACCTCTGGATAGACTCTCAAATTGAAAATTAGGAAGAATGGTAATCATAAACTAATGCAATAACATGTCTAAGGTATCTAACTTAAACACAATGATCGCATTGTGGATATGTTTCAGAAATGCGATACTTTGCACAACAGCAAATACTATGGGTGCGTGATTTTAGAAGACTTTAATTTGTTAAGTGGAACTCTTACGTGTCATGAATTCTTTGAATTTAAGATTTGTGGTGGATAAAGACAAACCCTTCATACAACAATTTATTGTCTACTTTCGAGTGAAGACCAAACCACAGGAATGTCTAATCTAATCACAATTTGGCGCTATTATGAAATCAAATAATAATTATCATCTTTATACGCTTACTAAGTTCCATCGGTATTAAAACAATTACGTTGGAATTTAAATAACCGTATGAAAAATGCGTAGGTAAAAGCTATCCAGTTTTAAACCAGTCGATAGAAATAGAACTGTGTTGGTTTAGCGAACAATTGATTTGATGAAACAATCACACTATTATGGTAATGCCGCACTCGGAACGAATGCTAAATTGTCCACGATCATCGGCTATCGCACGTTCCAAGCCAACAACTTTATTCACACAATTAGCAATTTGTTCATCGGATTTTTTTACTTTATTGTAGAAACATCTTCAACTTTAGTCAAGTAATTAACTTTGAGAAGAAAGTTGGTCTTTGAGTTGCCGGACAGAGGGTCCCATGTTTACTCACCGCAGCCCCGCAAACAAGCCATTCTTATGGTAATTGAGCAGCCCCTACCCGAATTTAGATAACTTTCTTTTAGTTTCTATAAAATCATTAAACAACATCTGTTCAAACTTTAGATTGATTATTCGGTTTTGGAATATTCTTTACATTTTCCCCTTTAGTTCTAATTCAAATTACATCGCTTTTCATGCTAATAGCGCCGCTAGCTGATCACGACGCAGCACCACATTATGCACCACGTACGGGAGCTCTGCATCTCTAACCAAATATTATGTGCATTTATTTATTTTATCCGTAGCCGTCAGCACACACGGCGACGCAGACTAAAAGAAATCAGTTGAGCGGCATTGCATTTTGATCGGGAGCGACGCGACGTCCACTTTACATATTCAATACTCAGCCAACAAAAGTAGCAATCCAAGTACCCGCAAACAAGTTCACTGAACTTGTCAATAAGACATCTGCTTGTTTAGGATGTGATTTGCAAGTCATACGAACGCTTGCCAGATTACGGGATGCTTCATCAATTTGAATGTATTCATGGCGCCGTCTGAAGGATTTCATGGCGTAAGCTATATTAACTCTGAGCACACCGCTTTAATATAATGAACTTCCAAATGTTGCCGCCTAATATCTAAGGTACCGCCTTAGAATTTCAATGTATGAATAACACACTACCAAATCCAAGTACCAACCAAATAGTCGCGGTCTTCTTTGCAGCATTTGAAAAATAAACAAAGTGCTGAGTATGGTTCGGTTGCGATCCCGCGGCCGAGCCCTTCGCTCCTTATCACCATCTCGGCGAGCTTTGTGCGCCACTATCAGATCCGCGATTCCCCCTCATTTCACCTCGCGCTACTCCCTTATTTATACAGCGGCGCCTTTGACTAGGCAGAGCAAATATTTGGGAACCGGTTACCTAGCGCCGATGAACGCTCTGCCGCCATTGTCTGTGGGCACCGACTGCCGACTGATAATATTTAATTAGCGGCCGCGGTGTCGCACCTTCACAGCTCCGCGGTTCGCCACTTACGAGCCGCGTTCAGTGCCTCCGTGATGCATGTCTGATGAGCTAGCTAAAGTGCCCACGGCAAAGCTGTTTGTTTAACAATTCATGTTACGCCGCCTGATGATTAGTCAGATAATGAGCGGGCGCTGATCATAATATTTAATAACGGACTTCAAAACAAACTCTACGCAACGAGAGTTACGTACAACATCTGTGCACCACGCCTCCCCGCAGCGTGTCACAATAAGTTCTCGTCATCCACATAAGGGAAACATAAACCACAGCGAACGACCCGACATCTACATATGCAAATATAGTCGATGGCCAACGGTAACAAAGTATGTCGTTTATTTATCCGATAAAGGAGCGATGTTCGTGCTCTCACGATGGGTTACGCCCGACATTTGATCCCTTCTGACATGGCTTTGGATGCACAGATGGACCGTTTAGGGTCATCTTGGCACGCAAGATGTCCGTCAATTGGGCGTTCTGCTACAGTTACAATGTGATGTTATTTACCGTTAGGAATGTCTCATACGGATATTTAAGAAAAGATTTGTTGACCTGAAGTCACGAATAACACATTCTGTTTTGTTGCAGTTACCATACACACTACACGTCGACGTAACGGATCAACAGAATGCTATGCACCCGCCTACCGTCAATATATCAAACGAGGGCTTCGTGCCGACAGAGCCACAAACATGGCGAGTGGATTTGCCGTGTACGCACACTGTCGCCGCTGAAGTAGACATCATTATATTTTTGAACGTATCAACGGGTTCTTCTTCGTCTGCATTGCGATTTAGAAGAAAGAAAATATGTCTAAAGGAGGCACCGAGACCGGCTGTGAGAGTGGATAGTGTCCCGCATGCGCCTACGTCAGCTGATATATTTTACGCGGGAGCTGGTTGTGCTGGCGGAGCACTGCTAATAGCTGCAGTCGCTGCAGCTGCTTGTCGAGCACGAGCGCGAAAGTTACGACGCGCAAGAAGCGATGAACAAGACGCTCACGCATTCTTACCAGACTCGTCCTGTAAGTCTGCTGCCAGTTATACCAGCTACCGACGTCCTACCTCACTGCCTGCTGCGGCAGCTGAAGAAAAAGCTAGAGATCTACAGCAAAGAATAGCGGAACTGACGATACAACGGTGCAGAGTGAGATTGCGTTCTGTGGCCATGGAAGGAACTTTTGGACGCGTATATAGAGGAACCTATGCTGATGAAGACGCAAGGGAACAAGAAGTGCTTGTGAAGACTGTCGCTGAACACGCTTCTCAAGTACAGGTAATTATTTTCTTACAATATGCATATATTGCATAATAATTATAGCTTCTAAGAATTTATTTTTTTGAGTTACTTGATTTTTCGCATTACCCTACCCTGTATACAAAATCTAACGATAGTACTGTTTTTAGGTGTCACTACTACTTCAGGAGGGCTGCATGTTATATGGACTTCATCACGAACGGGTATTGTCGGTCTTGGGTGTCAGTATCGAAGACCAAACAGCTCCATTCTTGTTATACCCCTGGAACTCGACATGGAGGAACTTGAAGCAGTTCCTTTTGGCCTGTCGTGGTGTGACCGTGGGAGGTGCAGCGGGCGGGGCGCCACCACCGCCGCCTCTGACGACGCAACATGTTGTCAGAATGGCTCTCCATGCATTGGATGGACTACTATACCTTCACTCTCAGCACGTCTTGCATAAAGACATCGCTGCTAGGAATTGCATGTAAGTTATAATTTTTTTAAATAGTTTTATTACTATTTATCTTTTTTAGGTTAAACAAATAAATTTTTCACTCAATTTCTTTCCAAAAATAATACCTTTTCTAACTAATCTTTTCTTCAACAGAGTTGACGAAAATCTCCGAGTGATGATTGCGGACAACGCTTTGTCAAGAGATTTATTCCCTGCTGACTACCACTGTCTCGGCGACAATGAGAACCGGCCAATCAAATGGTTGGCACTAGAAGCTCTGGCGAAGAGACAGTTCAGCCCAGCCGCTGATGTCTGGGCTCTAGGAGTTTTATTATGGGAGCTGACGACGTTAGCGCATCAGCCTTATGCTGAGGTAGATCCCTTCGAAGTAGCTGCCTATCTAAGGGACGGCTACCGGTTACAGCAGCCAGCCAATTGCCCAGATGAATTGTAAGTAACACTCCACCTTATACTATTTTCGTATGCACGTAAATTCTCTTCTGGGCCATAGCCAATTGGAACAGTTTTTCCGTAGTTGAGTGGTGTTTATGTTTGCTTATGTGAAGTTCATTCTCCTCCACGATTGTAGTACGTGCCAAAAGTTATTGTAATTCAACCTATTTACGTTGTTATTTGTTTGTTTAGATTCGCGGTGATGGCGTACTGTTGGGCGATGTCGCCGGACGACCGGCCGACGTTGCCGCAGCTTCAGATCTTCCTGCGGGACTTCCACACACAACTCACGAGATTCGTGTAAACCATTCCTTAGAAACTTTTAAAGACATCCCAAAGACGACAATAAAGTGTTAAGTACTTCAAGTTGATATGTTGGACACGAGGCCTTACAGTGAAGTGCGAGTGACAGTGTTCGTGTACAGTGACAAAGTTAAAGAGACTGATTTTTATACGTTTATTGAGTTGTAAATTATTTAATTCACATAGTTCTCACATATTTAGTTTTTATCTTCATGTACTGTATTTTACTATGGATTTACTGTTTTGACCGTGATTTTGAAAAATGATAGTAATCTCCAGAACGCTGCTTTAGCGAAAATAATGCCAATAAAATACTTGATAAAGATTGATCAATTTAGGTCGTACTGACATAAAAGTCGTGAAGAAATAACAGTATGCCATATTTGATAGTGAGTACCAAATGTAGTAATTATTCTATTTAGAACGATCTCATTTACTAGTGTTATTTGTAACAAATTACCAACATCATATGGCGAACGAATGCAGCGTAGCGAATGAAGTAAGCTGAGCATGATGTCTCAAGAATTATTGAACAAATTATAGCCAAAACAGTATTTCCTTTAAGTTCCTTCAAAACCGAGATAAATTCATAATTGTTTTGTTTTCTTACGATAAAACCATTTCTTTGATTCGATTAATAGTTAAGTATTAATGTTTCAATAGTATTACACATTGTCGAATTAAAGAAGTCAGATCGTTCAAGAACTTACAACCGTACTTTTTATTTGAGCCAAAAAATATCCTTCCGCCTATTTTTTGGGTTAAATCAAAAGTCGTACTGGCTAGCATATTAACCAAGGACGTTGAAAAAAACCGTCTCTTGAAAACCGACTGTGGCACCAGGGCCTTTAGCCAAACGCCACATTAGCTTGTCTACAGAGAGAGTAGAAATCAAAATGTATGGGGATGACACTGACAAGTGTCAAAATTTACGTCAATTCCATATAATTTGGTTTTCTATTCTACAAGTAGACAAGTGCTAAATGGCATTTGGGTACAGCTGCTGGTTACTATAGATTTATACGCAAAATACACACACATTGACATGAAGGACATCTGTGACATGGCCCGCCATTACACTTCTTTATACATTACGGTGTTGCAAGTAGGTACAGATAAATACACCATTCAAGCAGAGGTACCGTATTTTTTTCAACGTCCTTGATTAACTATTATCGCAGAATAATACACAAACCCTATATTGATTATCCTTGATTTGTACAGTTTCTAAAGATCTGTGGCTATATTTAATATAAAAAAATAGGGTGGGTATAGTTACTCTGTGGTTCCACGAAAGAAACAAAACACAAATATGTGATAATTATCGATACCAGTTGTCAGTTCCCTAATTTTATTAAACATTAAAAGAAACATTGTTTTAAAAAATTAGAAAATTGACATTATAATATTATTTTGAACCTCGATACTGCCATATTAGAATTAATATTTGTAAATATATATAGGTGATAGCGACTGTATTGTATAATACGTAATATTGAATGTGCCTCAGAGTTTATCACGACGTTTATAAGTGTTTAGAGTATTATATATATGATTATATCTATTGATTAAGACTGGACTAGAACAATTTTACTCATACATACACAATTTAATTACATTTATACTCTGCCTTGCAATACTTTCTCTATGGTTCTAAATTCAAAATAGTACATTTGATAAAGACCTTTTTACTAAAATTTTCTATGGCGTATTTATTATCTGTGCTACACTTTTGAATAAAAAAATACTATATTTAACTTTCGTAATGCTAAAATAGAACGCTATTGTGTTTCTAGATTTTCTATCTCAAATTATGTATTAGCAATTTGATTAAAAGTTATTAATTAAATCATATAATAGAGAAAGCACTGAATAAATTAAAACAGTAAGGATTTGAAATTATGCCTACCTGTTAATTAATATTGTTATTAAATATGAGACTTAACAATCAAGTTACTAATTATGTTAGTTATTCAGAAACCTATCAATGCAATGTAATCGAAAATAAAATTTGTAGTATCAATATTAGATCAATAAATAATAAATTCTAGTTCTAGAAAAGTATTCTTGTCAATAATTTTGTTATTTCCAAATAGATTGATACAGATAATATATTGTATACTTTGTCTGTTATTGGGGCAGCGATACATTTTGTACATGTGTAAATATTGTAATACTACACAAATGTGAATATATGAGTGATTAATATTCAATATGTCTGTTTTTCTTCCTCCTTTTTCATATACCTAATCATCATCATCATCTGATCATAACATCACGCCTTTTACCCCCGAAGGGGTAGGCAGAGGTGTACCATTACGGCACTTAATATCACTGTACAATGTAACAGCCTAGTAATACTTTGCCCGATCCGGGAATCGAACCCGAGACCCATTGCCCAGCAGTTGCAATTGCGACCACTCGGCCAACGATGCGAGGCAGTCCTTTTTCATATAACTGACCGAAACTTATCGCCAGTTCCCAGTTGCGTCTTAACTAAATCCACGTGAAAGAAAATTCTAGAAAACTGAAAATAACATACAAAAGAATAAACAAATACGTCAACTTCAATACTTCCAGTAAGAAAGGAGTGAGTCATTTACATCAACGTCATACCAATGACGTCATAACTACAATTTAAATATGACTTATGGGATGTTCCTCCCACCATATCTAACTGTATTCAAGAAACAAAACAAACGAACATTTTCCTATATCGAGTATGTTTTACTGTATTCCCTTTACCTAAATTACATTTACAAAACACCTTTGTATGACTCATCCCGTCCTTCCCCTCTTTAACAGTGTAGTGCATAGGGTAACAAATCGAGCTTATTATTACCTAAACAGTTTTAGATCTTATATGCCGGCAGAAGTACTCGTTGTTTAAAAAAAAATGCTTTTTGGTCTTAAAAACTTCATACTGAACATTTTAACATGAGATGAAATTCTGTAAAAATAATAGTATAAGAGAAGTTTAAACTGTCAAACACCGAGCGGTCACCGGTGACCGCAACCTATTGTTCTTCAATTGTGTCTATAAATACGATACTCGACGAGTTAATGATATATATGTAGTTATACCAACAAATACTAGTACCGACATATTTACATTTCAATATTATTATTGACTGTAGGTACATAATATATTATGCAGAACATTTATCTACATACTTAACATCACGGTATAAAAAATTGCACAGCACGTATAGCTCTAACCGAATAAATAAGAAAACTATCAAAAATATCAAAATCTAGCGTTAATAAAAAACAAACAAAAACGTCCATGAACCAAAAAAATTGATCCACCTAGGCCCCGGCGAGATTCGAACTCGCGATCTCCTGTTTACTAGACAGGCGCTTTAACCAACTAAGCCACGGCGCCTCATGTGTGCCCGGTCGAAATTTCCGAATACATTGTACTACACATAATGGGGATTTACGATGACTGATAAAGGGATGTTTACAATGCTGTACTTGAATAAACAATTTATATTGCAATGCAGTTACTTTATAGTTATTGTATGTTATATCGGAATTTCCTTATACACACTACAGCTATAATTACAGTAGAGGATGGAAATGAAAGTTTGAGTTAAAACATAATTTGAAAATTAATAGATGATGACTATCAATTCTTATTAAATAGTTGTCAAATTCATAACATGTTTTGATTTTAATTGAATTAAGTACCTAACTCATTGGTTCATAGTTCAGAAGCACGAGCTGAGCAAGTTCAGTTCTCGGGTATGGTAAAATCTTGGGGGCTTTTGGGTTTCTTAAATTTTTAGTAAAACAGCTTACACAAGATTGAAATTAAAGAGAAGCTAATATAAGTCATTTAAAGAGAATTGGAAGGAAAAACGTCAAAGTCAATGTCAATTTATTTTTATTGTGTAACCGTATTTACAACACATTTGCTTATAGACTTATACTATCGGGGATTTAATAATGTAATATTTAACACGCTTAATTTTATATTCCTTTTTGTTACCAATAATTAACATGTTAAACACCATGGGGTCACCTTCAACAGTTTTCTATTGGCAGTCAAAGCTTTAACTCGTCGAGTACCGGTTTTATAGACACAATTAAAGAACAATAGGTCGCGGTCACCGGTGACCGCTTGGTATTTGACAGTTTAAGAAGAAGAAAAAACTTACCTGGTACATATACTTTTACTACATTCTTAAAAATTTGAAAACTGTTTCACTTTGCCTTTCATCATCATAAATCAATGTAGTTATCATGTCAATTAAAAATAAAAATGTCCATGTAGGTATTAAAAAGCAATAAGAAACAGCTGTGAAGTGTTTGTAAAAAACGTGAATTAGTATTAATACCAGCAATACATATTTCTATGAATAATATCATTATCGCGTAGATAAATATTACATTATCTTCGATAACTGAGATACTAAATAAAACTTTCTAGGTACTTTAAAACATTACTTATGCATACTAGATACTGATGCGTAATTTCGCTATTTGTTCACGTGGCAGTCGTGGCCGAGCGGTTAAGGCGTCTGACTAGAAATCAGATTCCCTCTGGGAGCGTAGGTTCGAATCCTACCGACTGCGAACTCTTTTTGTCAAGTTTTATTGTCGATTTTAATTGACACTTTATCATGATTATTGAGCCTATTTATTTTTATCAGTGATCGTTATTGGCTTCGTATATTTATCGTTCTTTTTATTGGCAATATTTTGTGCGATATTTAATTACGTGGTTCTGTGTTAGAAGCGACAAAAACCGAACCCCTCCGTTATAGGTAGGCGCCTGTCAGTTTTTTTCGGAAATAATTATATGGGCCAGTATTAATGATGTTGAAAATGCATGGGACAGGGTTGCCATCGTCCGTACCCGATTAATTAGTTATGTAATGTTTATCTATGGTTACGGAGCCATTAAAACGGCGTTTTGTTTGTTTTACGAGGTTTGCGTTATGGAAATTCCCATGTAAGCTATAAATTAGCGGATGTTGTGTTTGATCGTAAAAA